ATAAATCGGGTAACTACATGTGGTATCACTGCTGATAAATTTAAAAATATCACAATTCTTGCCACCTTTTTCAAAAAACCAGAAAGTGTGCCTTCTTATCAATCCTTTATGAAAATGACAACAGTGATAAATGTGAAAAAAAAAATTTAATGTTGCTATTCGTTATTACGATAGTAAAACATGTTTGCAGTTCCGTTTATTTTTTATGAAAATCTAAGTAAAAACAACCAATGTCAAAGGGTTATAATTTTTTTTCTGTCGAACCAAATATATCACAAAATTTAAAAATTGATCATAGGTCAAGCTAAAGTAATACCTTTATTGATAGTAGAGCTTTAAAAAAGGAGAAAGAATAATATTGACTTAAGTAATTATTATTAACATTGGTGATTTTTAATAAAAACTCTTCAATTATTGTTTACAAACAAAAATATAAAAATCTGTGAAAATTTTATTTATTAACCATTTAATAAAAAATGAGAAAAATGAAGTAAAAAACAATTTATTTACAAATAAAAAATATATATACAAATCCTAAGAATATAAAAGTACTGATTTATTTTCCTGTAGTGGATGAAGAGGTTTCTTTAACAATCTAGCCAAGTGTACATCAATATTTACGCATTTTGATAAATTAGAGCCTTTCCAATAACACTGAGCAGGTGTTACAGATGGTTCCTCACTTCTTCTATGAAGCCACATATTTACAACCAACTGAAAAAAATAAAAGGGTTAGATATGCAGTTACAAAATAACTATATAACCAGCTACAAAATGCCTTTATTTTATGTAACAAGACAAGCAGAGCTTTACTAGCTCTGAACGAATCCAGTAAAGAACCTCGGATTTTCAAAACTTAAAAAAAAACAATCTCACCACATTTTCACATTTTTGAAATATTATAGAGCTTTTCGAAAAAAACTGTCATTTTTAAAAATACAATTTTTTGTTTAAACAGCTATGTCTCATTTTAGGCTATTGATTATTATAAAATAAAAAAATACGGGATGCTTTGTTAGCTTCAAACGAATCCAGCAGAGCACCCCAGTTTTTTTTTAAACCACACCACGTTTTTTGGCTCCTACAATATTATAAAATATTCGAAATTTGGCATTTTAAAAAAAATTCGCAATTCCTTGCTGACTTCAAAGTTTTTTTCTGAAAACAAATGTACTTACCACATTTTTAGGATTTTAAAACAGCCTAAACATGTGTCATAAGTAGTTGTTTTTATATATAAAAAAAAAAACAAATTAAAAAACTGAAGTGTCCTGCTGACTTTGTTCCAACAAAGCACCCTGTATTATTTAAAAATAGCAATTTTTTTAGTAAAGTTTTACAATATTTCAAGAGTCTAAAAATATTCTAAAAATGGGGTGTGGTTTTTAGAAAAAAGCTTTAAAAAACCGAATTGCTCTGCTGGCTTCTTTCGAAGGTTAGCAAGCACCATGTATTTTTAAAAATATAATATTTCGAGTGCATAAATATATGGTGTTGCTGTTTTTAAAGAAAAAACTTTATAAAACAGAGGTGCTTTGCTGACTTCGTTCGAAGCTATAGAGCATTTTAAGTTTTGCAAAAAACGAGGAGCATAAAATTTTTGAAAAGGGTATAAAAATAGCCTAAAAATATGGCATATTTTTTAACTCAAAATTTCATAGGTGCTCTGCAGCATTCTTTGGTATCATAATTATTACTAGGTTCACTAACAAAATCTGTTTCTAGATTATTTTAACACTTGCTGCGATTACAAAAAATGTCTATATGTCAAAATTAGAAAAAAAATATTTATAGGAATAAAGGGCCTTATACACTGTTTATTATATGTAATATAAAAACAAAAAAGCATAATAAATATTACAAATCTTGACATGCAGCATATCCTAAGTATATTGTGCACTAAAAATTTCATTTTTGTTAATTACAACAACCGCATCAGAAGGTTTTTGCCGTACTTTATGTTTAGGTGTAATTTGTCTCCTTCTCTCTTATGGAAAAAGAAATTATCCCCATATTCTTGCTTGGCAGATCTAAAAATAAAACCGGAGATAAATATGTTTTACTTGCTCCATATAAACTGTAACTACCTACTATTAAAACAAAGTCTTACCTTTCTGAATTTTGTAAACTGAGTATTGTTAAAAAATGCAGTAATCATCTCGGTAATCATATTTTCGTTTACAATGCGTAAAACACTTGATTCAACTTTTATAAATCCAGCTGATTTTCATATTAATAATAAAATTAAACCAAAATAAAAAACTAAGGTTAGGTCACAGTGTATCCACTCTTACCGTCAAGGTCAATGCGTGTTAAGTTTCATACCCCCGCCGTCGTGAGGTCGCCACCGTCACCGTTTATAGGACAGGCTTGTGCAGCGTTGCCAATAGCAATAATTTTACCCGATTTTTGGGTATTCTTAATTAACTAATGAACTTTTATGAATTGATTTATAATTTATTAATGCAAGATTATAGCGTTTTTGCCGTTTTTCATTTAGTAGTATGTACTATTACTGAAAAGTTATGTTTTAAAATATTTTCATCGTCACTATTGCATTTATTGGTGACTTCAGGCGTTCGGGGTAATTGATGAGAATTATCACCATTTGACCGTGACAACACTGCCTTCTTTGTGTACTTGATACCTACATAACCACAAATATTTCTTATTTTTATGAATTTTGTGAGTGATTTGTTTGTTTTTGAACTGATTGTTAAATAATAAAATGGAAATAAAACAGAAAGTCAATAGTGAAATGGAAATAAAGCACAAAATTAATACCACAGCATAAAGTTTATTTAATTGGCAGTGTCGCGATTGATTAGTTTCGGCTTACATTGGTCAGTGACCACATGGAGGAAGGATTAATGTTTCTATGTGACCACATTACATTTGAGATAATGGATAAACTTTCAGTCATGATTGTAAAGTGTAAGTGTTCCGGGTTCCAGGTTGTTACATTATTTTAATGGTAAAATACATCTTCTTGCTAACACAAGATACTTATAACATAAGAAATAAAAACCAGATAAAACTAAAAAAATGAAAACACTTGAATCTTTTTTATTTTATCTTAATATTTTGCATGTACCTATTATTATTGCCTTATTTTTAGCTATTTTTAGTTTTAGTTAAAATAATACCCGAAATTTACATTTTATAAATAAATCGTTATAAATATAATAAATGGTTTCATTTCATAAAAAAATGTAGCACCAAAACATGATTAACCATTATAGTTACGATTTGTTTGCTTATTGTAATCAAATCTCAACTTTAATGGCACACATAATAACCACGTTCAAAGCGTGCTTCCAAAAAATTATTCAGACATTCAAAAATTGCCGCCATCGTTTAGTTTAAACCCCCACCACTGTGAGGGCGCTGAAATCAGCTACGAAAATTATACATTTGCCGCGTTTGATGCTGCGTTTGAGAATCCACATCGGATGCATTTTTTACATCTCGAGCGTTTTTTTATCCACATCGGACACATCTGTCCCATTACATTTACGTATACTGCATCACGTGATCAAAGATTTTTTACATCTCAGATGCATCCGATGTGGATTCTCAAACGCAGCATGAGAATCCACATCGGATGCATTTTTTACATCTCGAGCGTTTTTTTATCCACATCGGACACATCTGTCCCATTACATTTACGTATACTGAATCACGTGATCAAAGATTTACTACATCTCAGATGCATCCGATGTGGATTCTCAAACGCGGCAATTGAGTGTACTGTCTAAACAATATATAAAAGGTCTGTGGGTTAGGTGGTGTCAATTTTAAAGTCACTTAGATGTGCGTTCACTTCGACATTCTGTTTGTCGGTTTGTTCGTTGGCTTGGTTTTGTATAACAAAAAAAAACTTCGACACAAGATGATTGGTCTATTCCCGATGACGTATAATTTCAAATTTTAAATTTCAATTGGGCTTAATTTAAAAACTTTTTTAACGAACTGACTATTTAGAATAACTTGTATAGCGACTAACTATTACAATATAATTTATAAAACAGCATATCTCACATGTGAACATGGCCCATTGAGAGAACGAAATACTTGTTTATGAAATGTACATTATTCCTTTCTACTTTTAGCTGTGCTGCTATGTCCATAAGACGAACAACTGACCATATTGTCTTGTTTGTCTTTTAACGCGGAAAATTTAAAATTAACAGTAATACTAAATAAATACTAAAACATGTCTACGAAACATACGGTTGATAAAAGTTTAAATTAACACATAAAACATCTAAATTATTAACAAATTTTAATCACTAAAATTATAAATCAATTTTAAGAAACTATTTATCAAATGATGATGAGTCATCCATAGTACAACATGGATACCCACTTCCGTCAGATCGATTAGATTAACGCGGACATGGCATGCTCCTTCCTGACTATAGATGTTCTAAGGAGTAAACGGAACTAAATTGAACGATCATCGCAAATATGAGGCATAGATTACTGATATGAGGTGAGTTCGGTCCACGCGCACTTTTCACTATATTCACTCCTAAAGTACCTAAGGGCACGGAAGGAGTTAAAATAAAAGTTCCTCTTTGACCATTCGGAGATCGTGGAGTGAATTGTGGATCGGGCATGCACATAAGGTGATTTAAATCGATAATAAGATAATTGTGACTAATTCTTAAGCAAAAATGCTTTTTATTGGATTCCCGTGCATACCATTAATATGGAAGAAACTTATACGGTTGTTACTGATAAGTACGATTAGGTTTTAAGTAATAGGTCTTTTCCTTTGCATCGAAAGTGTAGCACTGAGCTACACCACTTCTGAAAATATCGTTCCATTTATACAAATTGTATGGATGGAACGGTATTTTCAGAAGTGGCGTAGCTCAGTGCTACACTTCCGATGCAAAGGAAAAGACATTGAACTCTGAGAGTAAAAGGAGTAAAACCATATGCGCACTGCGTATTCCACTCCACTGAGTGCGCAGCCCGAACTCGCCTATGGATGTGACACTAGACAATGACAGCTGACAAAGTGACAACTGACAAAGAAAATGTTGATAATCATTCATCATCGCCTAATTTTCTGAGTTTTTGCAGCTTCATTATCTCGAGTTGAAATTGAATTGTGAATGTGAAACCGAAGTGGTAAATAAGATTATAGTCAGCATCAACAATGTCTAAAGTAAACGAAGTAGCTGATTTATATAAACAGTTAAAATCCGAATGGAACACAAAAAATCCCAATTTAAGCAAATGTGAGAAGTTTCTGTCACAGTTGAAGGTAAATGTGTTATATTTAAGAGCGCTACAATTTTAAAAATAATACTTAGGTATTCAATTATTCTTTGCTCTTGTGGTATTTACTTCTTTTTCATAAAAAAATGTTTCTTGAAATGTAAAATTTTAGCTTGAATTGACACATTTGATGTTTTTACCGACATCTACAGCTACAGCAACCAAGCAAGAACTTCTTTTAGCCAGAGATGTGTTAGAGATTGGAGTTCAATGGAGTATAGCTGCAAATGATATAACGGCTTTTGAAAGATATATGGCTCAACTAAAATGCTATTATTTTGATTACAATAACCAACTTCCAGAATCTGCATTTAAATATCAATTATTGGGTTTAAATTTGCTGTTTTTGTTGTCCCAAAATAGAGTAGCTGAATTTCATACAGAATTGGAGTTGTTGCCATCTGATCATATTCAGAATGATGTTTATATAAGGCATCCATTGTCTATTGAGCAATATTTAATGGAGGGAAGTTATAATAAAGTTAGTATAAATAATATAAGAGTGATCCTGCTGTTTATGTCGGCACGTGTAGTGCATGTGTCTGAATACTTGTGCATCATTAAATTTTATCTTTAAATTTTGAGGGCAAGGAAAATCAGTGTTTCACAAAAAATACCTCAAAATATTCTAAAATTATAGACTATTTTTGTTAATTTCCAAACATTTTCCTTGCCCTTTAAATTATACTTCATTATTCCAGTGAACACAAGGCCAGCCCGTGTGTAATCCATGGCGACTTAAACAGCAGGTTTACCAAAATAAGACACTGCATAAACTAAAAACTAGACAAGACTCAATAAGTTTTCTTTAATAATTTTCTTAGATATTTCTTGCGAAAGGCAATGTACCTGCAGCTAACTACAACTTTTTCATGGACATATTGCTGGATACCATAAGAGTTGAAATTGCAGATTGCTTGTCAGTGGCTTATGAAAAGATATCAGTGAAGGATATTGCTAGAATGCTGTACCTGCCTAATGAAGAGGCAGCGAAGAATTTCGCCAAAAAGGCTTTCCAAAATAAGGCTTGGAAATTAAACAATGAATTTTTCCATTTTATTCCTGAAGAAAAAACTCATGAACCGATTCCTTCCAAAGAATTGGCACAGCAAGCAATAGAATATGCCAAGGAACTTGAAATGATTGTTTAAGAGATACTTTGATTTATATATTTGCTTTAAGAATTAAATTATATCTAGAAAAATTGTTTATTTGTATTATTTATACCAATCAATTACATTCACGAGTTTCTTAATAATGTTCCATACTTTCCAATAACTGAGAAATTCAAATGTATAAAAAAAAATTGCAAAAGTATATGGTAGAACAGAAGTAAAAGCTTTTGCCAGTTCTCCCACTTTATACACATAAATTGACAGGTTGGCAGTGGATCTCCCCGAAGTGGACGCGATACATTGGCGTACAAAATTATTTTATAGATGTTAATAACAATTTCGAGTAAATAGTTTAATAAATTATGAATAGCTGTTGAAATTTTGTAAAATTATAATTTGAATATTATAATACATGTTTAATAATTATTTATAATCCATAAATACATGCGATTGTCCGGTTCCGCCGATAATTTAAAATTACTTATTCTATGAAACGACACTGGCAGGTAAACATTTCTGTGAAATTCTCGGAGCCGCCCGACGTGGTTTGACGTTTACCCCCTCTCTACCAAAAGACTTTACAACTTTTAGGGTCTATTTATACTCCCTTAGTATTTGTATTAGTATTATGATTAAGCATTAAATTTGTTAAGGGTCTATTTATACTCCCTTATTATTAGTATTTGCATTAGTATTATGATTAAGCATTAAGTTGAACCTTCACAATGTAATGGGGACATTTATACTCGATTTATGATTAGTATTAGCATTAATATTTATGCTTAATAATTGACAGGTTCAACTTTTAAATTAAACATTAAATTTCTTCTTTTCTATAAATAATCAATTGCGTATTTGGCCTTTGTTTTTAATAGACAACGGATAAGGATAATTGACAATACACATATGATTATGTTGTTTATATGTTTGTTCCAACAAGCTCGAAAATGATAATATTTCGGTACAAATCATGCTCTGTATACAATTTTTGTGTATCAGCAGTGTTCACCGATTATAAAGTTGACAAATGACATGTCACCACGAGGAAGCAAAGGCCTCTTTTCTGTCTGATTTGTATCAAATTTCTGCTTCTTTTTATTTGTTATAAATTTGAGTTTTAAATCCGTTAAAATGTCCTTAATTAAACCTATTTTTGAATAATAATATTTTTAAATAAAACTAACTAGTAAAAATATTAATAGGAACACATTTAAAACTAAAATATCTTAAAATAACACAACCGGACTCTTACACATTTCTTCAGTAACCATATATTTTGTTGACTGCAGAATTATATCTTATTAGGTATTAGGTTTAAATAGTTTAAAGAAGAATTACTAATACTAATTATAAAACGAGTATAAATACCTTTTTTGAACGATTTAACAAATTTAATGCTTAATCATAATACTAATACAAATACTAATACTAAGGGAGTATAAATAGACCCTAAATCATTCAAAAAAGGTATTTATACTCGTTTTATAATTAGTATTAGTAATTCTTTTTTAAACCTAATACCTAATAAGATATAATTCTGCAGTCAACAAAATATATGGTTACTGAAGAAATGTGTAAGAGGCCGGTTGTGTTCTTTTAAGATATTTGAGTTTTAAATGTGTTCCTATTTTTACTATACTCTGTTTTTAAACTAAGAGGAGCGAATTGAAAAGTCCTATTTACACAGGGAAAAATAACTAAAAAAGTAACTAGATATCATTTTAGCGGTAAATTTGAATTTGTCTTGTATCATTTCAAGAAAAACATTTCAAAACTTTGTTATGAATTCATTGAAGATTGAAGTCAAAGTTTTAGATAACCATCGAATAACTAAATTGTGCTCATTCCCTTTTTGATTTATAATTATTGTATTTTAGTTATACTTTTATTTCTTCCTTTCTTCGTCTCATATCGCAGCTCGGACCAGTATGTTGAGAAGAGAATCGCCTAAACAGCGACCAAATTTCAGTAAATTGAGTAAAATGTCTCCCAACAAAATACAAAATAATGTACATTTTGAGTTTAACATAGAGTTTTAATTCGATATTTTATTCATTGTTTTATAAGTAACTGTGATTAGAAAATTATATATCTATTATAATAACAGAAAAGAAAGTAAATAGTAGGTTTTTCAATTTGATGGAAAAATTAGAAAAATAAGTATGCCAGTTCTATTTGTTGGAATGAAATTAAGCACCTATTATTACCTACCTATTACAAAACATATTTAGGAGGGACTGAAAAATATGTAGTTGAAGAAAAGCTTATTTAAAATGAAGAATTTTGGCAGGTACAAAAAAATAAAGTTTATTTTTATATTTCTTTATAGGTATAGTTTAATTTGTAATATTTTTTCTTAAAATTAAACTACAAGATTACCATTAGTTGTATGGATTTCCTAATTAAATAAGGGTTCTTTCTTTAGGTAAAATGTAGCAAAGTTCTGAAGTACGATAGGATATGTTTACAGACAAGTGTTTTGAAATGAAATAAATCAAATCTATACGAATTTTGTCTCCACTAACAAGATGATATATTCAACAGTCGAAAGTGTAAACTTGTGGGCAACAGCTTATTAAATGTATGTAGAAGTCCAAGAAAGTGCAATGGTACCAGCTTTTACTATAATAATAATGGTTTTTATCATTCTCCTGTTTTTTTGTAGATAGGATTTATAATTGTTGCTTAAATTCCACATTGTGTATCAGCATGTCTTTGGTCTTCTTGAAAACATATTTTTATACAATATAAAGCAGATGGTATATTTTTTTGAGACATCCTTCAAGCCTCTCGAAAACTAAATGTTTATTTGCAGGTAAGATAATATGTATCTTAATTTTGTATGATAATTTATTGTATAGACAAATAATTAAATAAAAATTATTAAGGCATAAAAAAGGTAATTTGTAACTTTGTGTCAGCAGAAGGATTTCCTACACCCAATTTAATATATTTTTTACAAACAAAAATATCTTTAGTATGATCGGTAGATATTTTTAATAATTCAGCACTACATATGTTTCGAAATCTTCTGGTGCAATCACAGCTTTTTAAAATTTAAAAAAACATTTAGGAAAATAAACACTTTAAAATGATCATGAACGAAACCAATATTTTGTGATAGTGTGTAAGTAGCTTACAACTAGTTGATTAAATTAAAATACACCTTTTACACATTCGCAGAGTTTAATATGTGTAAGTGTAGTTATAATCTTTGCAGTCTATTTTATAAACTACATTTAGTTGAGTTGCTTTCTTGAGTTTGGGTTTAAAATTTAAAAATAAGGTTTCGTTTATGAGCAATTCTTACATTATATCTAGAGAATATTTTTGACACTTGTTTGGAAAGTCCTTTTACATATAGCAATTTAATGTTTAAAAAAGGGTGCCACACCAAATGTTACAGTGATAACACTTTATGCTTTTGACTATTTAAGTACCAAGCTATTAAAATAATAAAACAAGGTATTTGTTTTAGGTTAAATAATGAAAGTTTTGGAGGCCACAAATTATGGACATATTCAGATGGAAATAGCACTTTTAAATATATCCAAAATATTTTGTAGTTTTAAATGTTCATTAACAATTTTGTAAATGGTTTATTTTCAAATAAATAAAATTTACTTTAATATTTAGTTATATTTTAATCATTTTGATTAGAAATTCATTAATTTTTAGTTTAAAAAAAAATTAGTAATAAAGTTGTATAAAAAGCATTATTTACGGGGTAAAATATTTAAAGCTGCTCCCATTTTTATTGTAAAATTTAAAGGACGCCTTTTTTATAAATCCAGATTTCTCAATAATGGCTGCTCAAATCTACTCTTACCACTTATACCTTGCAGAACAAGAATTTTTAAGTTAAATACAGACTGGCGCTTAAATGTGTGTAAGATACAACAATTTTACAATAAAAATGAGAGCAGTTGTAATTTTTGTATACTACACTGTAGTTTTGTAATTTTTTTTTAATATGGGTTAGAAAAACAACATATGAATAGTAGTATCTTTATTTTGTAAATTTGTTATATTTTAATTAATAATAAAAGTTTGAAAAATAAAACAAAAATACATAAGAGGTGCCTATACAACATAATAAGTAAAAGGACAAAGTACATCTTGACATTTACATTGAATTAGAAACAAAAAACACAAGTACTCAATATGTTAATCTACATCAGAAGATTCATTGTGTTTTTAGCTGCCACCTGATTTATTTGTGCCTCTATCAATTCTATGGGATTTAACTCGCAGTGATATGGGGCAGCCACTACACAACTTTATTGGTTTCTTTAGCCTTTACATCGACAACATTCAAATTATGTGCATCTTTATGTTGCCAAATTAGGTGTAAAAGTTGATATCACTTCATATTTAAATAAATTTAATATTTTTAGTTTTGTAACCATTCCCGTCAGATTTTCTTGATGACAAAGGAATTTTTTCAACTTTTCGACTATGATATGATACATTTTCCATGACAATCATAGCATAATTAGAAAACTTTGTAAAAAATGTAGAAAACCAATTCTAAAATACTTCGGATTTCGTCTCGTTAAGGTAAATGCATTTTCTACAAAAACCTTCAGAATTAGCACGTATATTAAGGCACCTGCTTTTGGCATTTCAGGCCTGTTGATAAACCTTTATGATCTTCATCAAAGTAGAAGCTTGGTCTGTTTTATTTTCTATATTGTTTGATGGATTTTAAATCTACGTATATAGTGTTCTATCAATACACTTTGACAATTTCTTTTCAAATATCTAAAAAAATATATACATAATAAATAAACAGTACATTTGACTGGTCAAAGTTACAAACTTACTTATTATATCTCAAGAAAGTATATAAAGATGAATAATATATTTGTGGCAAATCTAAATATTTCAATTCTTGCAAAATTTTATTCAATCTAGATAACTCATTTTTGAAAAAGAAAGCATGTACTAATCTTCGAATAGCATTTATCATCATCATAATCAAATGTTTTTAGAACTCATCGTCTTCCATAAATACTTTTTAGACTAGATATTGTTCCATTATTGCGGTATTATTTCAATAATCGGTAAGTAGTTGACTTTGACCTGT